TACACAACATTGCACTACGACCCATCTCACATTACTCATTTCACAGTATTTATTTCGAATATGGTACCCAAACGCCAGAAGCTTGATGATGTTAGCGAGGATGAAGTCGTTCAGCTTGAACTAGAAGGGTTTTCACCACAACCGGAAGATCGCGATGGAATTATCCAACTCTTAAAACAGGCCATGCCCAAGGACTCAAATTTGTCTCTTGGTGGTATCGCAGATTATATAATCGCTCACAGTACGGTTGGTACTGTCGTCAAAAATTGCTTTGACGATGCAGAATTGGATGCTGCAGTCAGTGATGATGACAACATTATATTTTCGTTGACAACTGTTGTTAGCCTCACTAACTCTGCGGCTTCTCGCTCCTCTGTTATTTCCGACCTGCGAGTGTTTTTAAATAGTTTCTTGTCTCGTGCCGGCTTGCAAACTCAAGATTCCAGAGTTATATCTAAAATCCTCTCAGGTGCCTCCTCTCAGAAGCCAGCCCTCCTTCTGAACGAGCGTTTTGTAAATCTCCCTCCTTCTATCGCTGCCCAAGCTGTTGCTGCTCTTCCCTCAGAGGTCCAAAATCTGCCAGATGATGAACGACCCACACATTTGATCATATTAACCAGAGCCCTAAGGTCTGAACCGTCTAATGACCTTATTTATGTTCAACCTGAAATGGAAATTGTTAGGAAGGTCGCCATAGCTGCTGTCGAAATTATTTCTGTGGACTCAACAGTAGATGAAGAAACAGAGACGATTACATACGTAATCATGGCAATTGACTTCAATAGCCTCCCGGAGATCCTGGAATTGCTTGCTGATGCACCGTAGAATTTTAATCTGTTTACAATGTGTAAATAATTTCAGTTACCGCGTCCGTGAATAAAACTTTTGATATATCTCAATAGGTTTTTCATGTTTCTTTGGTGAACTCTTGTTGGTTCGATAACCCAACAAAAAGCCTTTTCGATCTTCCGGATGCGATACTTGCTGGTGGTTGGCTATTGGTCTCACATGTAACTTATGCACGTCTGTATTAACGTCCGCTATGACATTTACTCCAGGAAGCGCCACTCAGCGCAACAAAAGTAAGTTGTGTAGTGTGTTCCCATGCGAGGTATCCCATACTTAAATGATGGATTTCTGGCAACAAATCTTTGTCAAGGCTCGTTGAGGCGTTACCAACTGAGCATGCACGCATATAATACACTGAATTACTTGTAGTCGTGTCAGTTGCTGCACTGTAGAGTGATTGACATAGTAGTCGTTTCCTCGGCTGCATGTAATCGCGGCTAGTTTAGAACCGGGTTTTCATCTGTCATAACTCAGATGCCAGGATAAGCCATCCCGCCCGATGGCATAAAGAAACGCAGCAACTGTGAGGAATTATGATTTCTGATAACTGGTTTACTAATAAAACTTAGGAGGGGGGAGTAATTAGTGCTGTTGGGGTCTTTGTTATGTCGCTGTGGTAGGCTTCGTGTCGGCGTCTGCCACGGGCCACGGTCGTCGACATATTAACTTGCGAGAATGGTTGGGTGCCGCCTTTCGTTTTGGATTTGGGACGTTGCCCACCTCAGTAGAAATCTTAATCGGAGGATGCGTCACAGTTGATGGCCGTCCTGTCCCTTCGGGCAACGGAGATCGAAACTAAGGTTGAAAGAACCATCAATAAATATCGTTTACTATAAGCAAAACGCGTAGCTTGGTTACTGCTTACTGTAGCTTTAGGTACTCCTACTTCATGGCGTGTGTTCTGCGACTTTGCGTCCAGAGCTGGAATAAGTGCCTTAGTTTTACTTGATTTACATATCCTAGATTTCAGTTGTTTAGAATCGGGAGTTATGTTGATTGAATGGTTCGTGTTTGAGAGCGTCTGAATGGCCTGTTTAGTTTTTTTGTTTACACTTTTGGGGCCATTCATATAGTTTTCGTGCGGATTGTTGTTGCCACTTGGAGCGGTGGGCTTCGATTTCCTACAACATATTTTCAACAAAGGATATTTTTAGTAATGGTCTGATTTTTGGACCAAATTAGGGTGCACTTGACATACCCTATGTAGCTCCCCCGCCATTCATCTAAGTCATCTAATACCTTCTTGCAATCATTTCGCAACTCCTCAATTATGGCGAGGTCCAATTCGCCATCCACCGCCTGACCTTCTTGACCACAAATTTCGTTTTCGTTGATAAATTTTGCTCGTTCTCGTCGTCCATGTGGATCTTGCTGACCGCCTATGCTATCTGCAATATTGGGTGTGGTTTGCAGGACTGGGACTGAAGCAGAATTTCGACGTTGACGAAGTGCGTTGGCTATGTCTCCACATATTACTGACCCACAAGTCAGGCCCAACTTAGTTGACTTAATAGAGGGGTGGGAATCGGCTTTATAGAGATGTAGAGAAGTGAGGTCAATTTTGCTTTCAAGGTAATGCAGGACAAGGTCAATAATAATTACTAACCCCATCTAGGGCAGTCGTCAGCGTCGGACGGGATTACTATTCCTTCTCTGATGATACCATCATCTCCAATGGTAGAACGTTTCCGCTTTTCGTCTGGGCTAAGATGAATAGAGGACATCAACTTCCGTAATGACAACTGATTTGATTTTGAGGAATAAGGTTCTGATGGTCTTCCTGCTACACTCCCTCGACCAACCACATTGCTTTGCTTCTACAAACGTTAAATTAGTTTGTCCAATTGGTATTTTATCTAGTGCCAATGCGTATTCTGTAGTTAGAGAATATTTTAACATTACCGTTTTAAATGGTTGAATTGACAATTCATCAATCACATGGTTTATGTAATTCCATTCTTCATCGAAGCTAAATCCATTCAACGCAGGGTTATGGATGTTTGAATTTGGAGTTCCTTGAGTCGGAATACCATCAAGATATGTCAAACGCGGAAGCAGTTCCTTTACGTATGTCCAATATTTCTACATTTCAAGCAACTAATAAAATCAAGCTTACCGAATAAGACTCAAATTGCTTTACCAATGGGTTGCATTCTAGTGTTAAATTTGAGAGGCGAAGACAAGTATCAAGGGTCACAAGACTTTGTTTATCACCGATCTTGTTCCTTAAATATTTTAAGAGGACGTTTTATATTACCCTTCCAAATCTAAAATCTCAAGATTGCTTAAGAGCCCACAAGGACTAATATCAGAAATTTCATTGAATGCCAGATAAATCTCTCGAAGGCTTCTGAACTCCCCCAAACCGTCAATTGAGTTAAGGCAGCATCGAGACATCCACAGGACCTCGAGACTTGCAAAAGATAAGCCTATGTCGCTTTTTGAGGTTAGACGTCAGTAACTATTTACCGGAGCGTTGGCAAAATACTGTTGGATAATTTTAGATATTTAAGATTCGGAACTAATTGCCCCAAATTATCAGGTCGAAGCTTCTTAGAGTCAATACACATTTCAAGAGTTTCGATGTCCTCGAGTTTGGCACAATGGGTAATATTTTTCTACATTCGTGACGTGAAACTTAAATCGGTATTACAATCCACTTTGCTGACAGAATGATAGGATCTTCCGGCACCTCTTCTTTATTCGATGAAACGGTTGCTTCCGATTCGAATACTGATGTGCTATCCGGTGGAGAATTGCCAGTATGAACTAGCGTGCTCATTTTCTTCCCAGATGCTAAATTAGTATCTAAAACAAGCGCACTAAATTATGAAATACATTTAAAGTTCACAACAAATGCTATGACAACAGAATATTTGAGGAAATCCCAAGAAATGCCAACTTTTCTTCAGGAATTGGTAATTCCGTGGCAAAATGAACAAAATAAAGCCTATATTAAATAAAATGCTATTGAGGTCCCCATTTTGGGTTACATCTAATAAACATTAGGATATTTCACCGAAGCACAACTAACAGAC